AAACCGCCCCCCCCCCCCCCCCATATCACAGGGGCTACATTCCAAACCACCAATAAGTGAATTCCACAATATAGAAATACTCAACTCAACTTTATATACAAAACACTTCAAAACAACCGCCGCGGTATACAATGTGCTGTACAGAGAGAAAAAAATTGTCATAATGACCTTAATTTTGTAAACACTTTTTAAATAATACAAACACACTGAAACACATATAATGAAGAGAAATGGATAACAGAATTTTTGTGCAGTGTAACTGTATCGACCATCAATGCGTTTACATGACAACAAATCCTATTTTTCCAAACTAAGAAATTTATAATGTCACAATGTACATCAATAATCATGTCCAAAGGTGTACATTATAAACTTAACCGATAGCCGGAGCTTTCTGTAGGCGTAAAAAGCAGGATTACAGCAGATGACATGAAATAATTTTCAACAATTAGCCTGTGTTGAAATACAGTACTCCGTGTATTCGTCTTTCAAATTTATGTCTCAAACTAAATGCCAGACCAAAAAAGGTTTGAACAGTACAAAAATGAAAAATTTGCAAAATAGCAGGACTGTGAACCTGGCTTCTCAAAAGCACAGAAATCCCGGCCAATCAACATGCCATGTTTTATCACATGTTGGTGCGCAGCAAAAATGACATTAGTGGGTACCAAGTGAAATCCATCACTCAATCCCTCACTGTGGATTGCAATTCCTGCCTGTCTACGCTGTTATTTGAGGCAGCGCTACTACTTTAGCCCTCCCGATTTTAGCAGCCTCTTCTCAAGGCTAGACGAGCGACGCAAATGCACAGATTCTTTTTTTAAATATCCGCCATGCAGCTTGGTTCAACCACACAAACAAACTGACTTCCTGTGCCACTGCTTTTTAGGTCACAATTCTCGATATGTCACGAAACATTGATAAGTGGCTCTTAAAGGGTCAACTCTACTTTTTAACTTAAGATAAAGCTGCGCCTTGGTGAAATTCATGTTTTCATGGAATTACATGATCTAATGTGGTCATAATTCAAATGAATACACTTCTTTGTCTTTCAAATGGAAGACAAAGAAGAAGAACCTCTGCCGGAAGTACGGAACTAGAAGAACGGTAATCATGGCAACTAGCTTTCGGGTTCTACAAATATTAACACTTACGTAATTCATCCTTTATTTTGCAATTAAAAAATTGTATTTATTAAGTCTACCAAGTGTTTAGAAGGGTGATAACCGTATGATGGGGTTAATAATGGTTTCATTGAGGTGTAAATACTGTACCTCACCCCGCACCCCTTCAAAAAAGGCGAACCGAAAATGTGTGTGGGGTGACTGTAGCACCAAAAGATCAGTTGCCAGTCTGCCACCTGGCACATACAATTGTAGGGCACGTACACTCTAGCCAGACAATAGATTGGTTGCCAGTTATGCAGAGAATGTAGATACTTTTGAATGCGTCATGACTGCTTGCGATTGTAAAACTGGAAATCCAAATTGTGATATATATTTTCCCCTTTCTGTGCAGATGACCCAAATCTTGCGTCTCACAAAGTCCTCAGTCCCGAGTCTGAGCAAGCCTTTCCCCTGGAGGAGGTCTCCCCGTATGCTGTCAAGTCCTGTAGTCGCTCCTACATTGAACACCAGACAGAAGTTCTGCCAGGATATGACGCTCAGGAAGCACAGAACTACCTGGACAGTACCCGGCCCCCAGGCTTGGCCTTGAGCCCGCGCATTGAAATCACACCATCCCGGGAGCACTACAGCCACTCTCGCGACTCCCTGCAGAACCACCACCCCAGTGTCAACAGCCCCCGACCCACATTGACCGTACCAGGCCATGAGAACCTCTCCTACCGCGAGCCCCAGTGCCTGAGCCCCGCCAGCAGCAACTCGTCCACCAGCTGGCACTCGGAGAATTATTCCCCCTGGGCTTCCCCCTGCGTGTCCCCCAGTAGCGGCAACAATCCTGGAGACCTGTGCCCCCGATTACAGAACATCCACACTGGCTCCCCACGCACCTCCCCGGGAACATCACCGAACGCCGGCCTAACTGAGGAAGGCTACCTGGGAACGTGTTCACCCTCCCCGCGCCCTGGCTCCCGCTCCACCTCCCCGCAGGGTAAACGCACCTACGACATGTACAGGAATCCCGCTCTGATGCCCGGCATCCGCTCCCGAAGCCCTTCCCCCCTAGGCGGCCATGTGGATCAGAACATGGGGGCCCACTATCCACACAACGCCATGCCGGAAGCCATGAATGGTTTCAGTTTGCCCAAAAAACTAGTCAAGACTTCCAACCAGGTTTACACTCTGTATCCGGAGCATCACGGCGAGGGGATACTTGGTGTGTCCTGTGACCAGGATATGAAAAGCAAACCTTCTCCAGAACCCTTCTTTGTCATCCCTCCGATCTGGTCTAAGCCGCTGGTCTCCAGCATTTGCAGGTTAATTTGGAAAGAATGCGTCACGCGGCGTGTGCAATTCCAATTATCTTATCTGTGTCCTTTGCGACCCATAGTATCCCGTTGGCGTCTCTCCCCCCTCTGGAATGGCCCGTGCCCAGCCGCACGGACCACTATGAGCTCCATATCGAGGTGCAGCCAAAGCCGCACCACAGAGCTCACTACGAGACGGAGGGAAGTAGAGGCGCCGTCAAGGCCCACACAGGAGGACACCCTGTGGTGCAGGTCCCCCCCATATCACAGGGGCTACATTCCAAACCACCAATAAGTGAATTCCACAATATAGAAATACTCAACTCAACTTTATATACAAAACACTTCAAAACAACCGCCGCGGTATACAATGTGCTGTACAGAGAGAAAAAAATTGTCATAATGACCTTAATTTTGTAAACACTTTTTAAATAATACAAACACACTGAAACACATATAATGAAGAGAAATGGATAACAGAATTTTTGTGCAGTGTAACTGTATCGACCATCAATGCGTTTACATGACAACAAATCCTATTTTTCCAAACTAAGAAATTTATAATGTCACAATGTACATCAATAATCATGTCCAAAGGTGTACATTATAAACTTAACCGATAGCCGGAGCTTTCTGTAGGCGTAAAAAGCAGGATTACAGCAGATGACATGAAATAATTTTCAACAATTAGCCTGTGTTGAAATACAGTACTCCGTGTATTCGTCTTTCAAATTTATGTCTCAAACTAAATGCCAGACCAAAAAAGGTTTGAACAGTACAAAAATGAAAAATTTGCAAAATAGCAGGACTGTGAACCTGGCTTCTCAAAAGCACAGAAATCCCGGCCAATCAACATGCCATGTTTTATCACATGTTGGTGCGCAGCAAAAATGACATTAGTGGGTACCAAGTGAAATCCATCACTCAATCCCTCACTGTGGATTGCAATTCCTGCCTGTCTACGCTGTTATTTGAGGCAGCGCTACTACTTTAGCCCTCCCGATTTTAGCAGCCTCTTCTCAAGGCTAGACGAGCGACGCAAATGCACAGATTCTTTTTTTAAATATCCGCCATGCAGCTTGGTTCAACCACACAAACAAACTGACTTCCTGTGCCACTGCTTTTTAGGTCACAATTCTCGATATGTCACGAAACATTGATAAGTGGCTCTTAAAGGGTCAACTCTACTTTTTAACTTAAGATAAAGCTGCGCCTTGGTGAAATTCATGTTTTCATGGAATTACATGATCTAATGTGGTCATAATTCAAATGAATACACTTCTTTGTCTTTCAAATGGAAGACAAAGAAGAAGAACCTCTGCCGGAAGTACGGAACTAGAAGAACGGTAATCATGGCAACTAGTTTTCGGGTTCTACAAATATTAACACTTACGTAATTCATCCTTTATTTTGCAATTAAAAAATTGTATTTATTAAGTCTACCAAGTGTTTAGAAGGGTGATAACCGTATGATGGGGTTAATAATGGTTTCATTGAGGTGTAAATACTGTACCTCACCCCGCACCCCTTCAAAAAAGGCGAACCGAAAATGTGTGTGGGGTGACTGTAATTGCGTCTTAAAGGAGATAGTGTCGTTTTTTTTTCCAGAATGTAAAATAGTACCCGGGTGTCCTAATGTCATGTCAAGAATCAAGAATAGTAGCAGACTATACTGGGGCTGCAATTAACGATTATTTTCATAATCGGTCAATCTGTTGATTATTTTATGAATTAACTGTTGTCTTGCTTCGCCTTAATCAGCCTGCTTCAGAGGTCGGCATTTTAAGCCACGGGCAGAGAACAAAAGATTGACTTGGTTGTTTAATTTCACACTTGATGGGTTGGCAGGCACCCCACACGCACAACAATTTACAGACAATCAACTAAACTACATTTTAAAAACACTTTTGGTCAAATGGAGTGCACTACATGGCTGCAACCAGTAGATGTGCTGTTGATTCACTCTTCACTGGTTTATAAACCCAGAAAAATAACATCGTGGCATCAGCTATGAGGAGTTGAGCTATCGCCATACCGATCCCCATGGTGACAATGTGGTGGCGTGGATTTTGCGTGTTTTACCCGTGCTTGGATGCATTTTATGCAGCTACTCCAACTTCCTCCCGCATTCCATAAAGGTTGTTAGGTTCATCGGAGACTCGAAATCGTCCAAAGGTGTGATTGGTAGCGTGAATGTTTGTGCCATGTGACTGGCCTGTGACCACGAACCAAACTGCTGGCCACCACCGGCTTTGTTGTTTTCGTCGCTTTTTTTTTTTCACAGCTTCTGATGCAAATTTGTATTGTTGAGCCTTTGGCGCATGTCTGTGCTCCACTGAGTCCCATTCTCCTTTTCACAGTGGAGACTGTTTATGTTGTTGTTGCATCTTTTCCACCCTGCCCAAAGGCCTCAGATGGGTTCTGCCTGGCTGGACACGGCTGCAGTCCTCCACGTTGTCATTCCTTCCTCCTGTCGCCCTTGCATCCTTCCCTCCATGTGACCCCCCCAACCCCCACCCCCCTCCATGCTTTACTTTTCCTACTCTGTGCTCAGTCATGACTCACTGCTCCTGCACATCACCGTGACAACCGCCCGACTGCTCATGTTTGCGCTCGGTTTCTCCTCTGTCCACTCCCTGCGGTTGCCATAGTTACCGGCCGTCGCAAAGATGTTACAAAGATGTGAAAATGTCACTCCCAGGAGGAAAAAAAAGTACATTCTCTGGTCTTTTAAGCAGATATTGCAAATACTTTTTACTGCACTAGTTTGAATGTAATTGCCTTTCCATCTATTTATATGGCAGACATGACCTGGATTAATTAATGAAACAACTGGAAACAGCACAAAGTACCTGAAGGGGAAATCCTGTTCGTGCCACACTAAAACCGCTGCGGTTTTAATTATGAATTGATCTACAGTTGGTCTCGCCTGCCGTATGTGAGCTTTTTTTTTGGCCAGCCGTCAGATTTGTTGTTTTGCAAGCCAGTTTCACTTTTATAAAAACAAACAATGCCGGCCACCAAACCGGTTTAACATGTTGCATTCACTTGCTTTCATGTAGCATTCAGTTGTTGATCATGGTGCAACTCCAACACCTTTGTTGTTTTCCGTAGTTGCGCGGCTACAAAGGCAAAGAGGCGCTCGGGCTGCAGATCTTCATCGGCACGGCGGACGAGCGCATTCTCAAGCCGCACGCCTTCTACCAAGTGCACCGCATCACTGGCAAAACCGTTACGACAAACAGTTTGGAGAAGATTGTCAATGGAACCAAAGTCCTGGAGATGCCCCTGGAACCAAAAAACAACATGAGAGCAATGTGAGAATATTGTCAGAGTCGTTTACATTTCTTGTTCTGCATTTCTCAAACTGCAGTCTGAATGAAATCCAAAGGTTGCACGAGAATCCATACCAAAAAACAAAACAAAAAAACTAGACTTGACCAGAATTAGATCTCTCTACCCCCCAGTCCATAAAACAGGGTTCCCACCGGTCCTTAAAGTTCATAAAAATCCGTAAAAAAAGTTGTAAAATTATGTTCTTAATTGTCCTTAATTTTCAGGGAAAGCTTCTAAAATCAATAAAAATCCTTAAAAATCTATTTATATTCGAAAATAAATTGAAGTTTTATATTTTCTAAATTTGAATTTTTCTTCGTGTACTTTATTTGAGAATAAATTCAAGTTTTTTTCAGGTAGAAAGGGTTAGCTGATTACCCCTAAAAATAAAGATGTGCCCTTCCTTTGGCAGCAATGATTTGAACACCAGCTCAATGATATGTGGCTTTCTGTTCAGCCCGCATATTGCTGAGCGGGCATTAAATCCACCATGTATCCCCGCTGAAGGGAGAAAAAGTCCTTAAAATTGGCTAAATTTGCCCTCAAAAGTCCTTAAAAGGTCCATAATTAAAAGCAAGTGGAAGAGTGGGAACCCTGTAAAAAAATCATCGGAAGCGCAATCATTAATTGCTAATACGGCATCTGAAGACATTGAAATACTGTGCTTATTCATTCCATCTCACAGAATTGACTGCGCCGGTATCCTGAAGCTGCGGAATGCCGACATCGAGCTGAGGAAGGGCGAGACGGACGTCGGCCGAAAGAACACGCGCGTCCGCCTCGTGTTTCGCGTGCATATACCTCAGCCCGGAGGACAGCACGTCTCACTACAAGTGGCCTCGCATCCCGTTGAGTGTTGTAAGCAAAATAGAAAACACTCTTTGCTTTTCTGTCTCTGCCATATATATTTGATCCTCCAACGCCCCGCATTCAAATGAGTTTGGAGCGGCTATTCAGCAATCAAAGATGTCTTTATGCTCACGCGGCAGCGCGATTTACTGCGTGTTTGCTCGACTGCGTGAGTGCCGCTTGGCTACATCCAAGTATGTTTACACAGTCTTATTAAAGCGACGGCTGTAATCAAAACTCAAACAAGAGCTTCTTTTTTTTTTTTTTTTTATCCAGCTCTGCTGGGAACACAACATCCCTGTTAGAGAAAATTGTGACAACAAAAATTCACCTTTATGAGGCGTCATTTCCTGTCTGTTTTCTGTTCGGGAAAATCTCGTCCCTACCTGTCTGCACATATAAGACTTCTGTCGGGTGGGAGTCGTGGTTGCAGTCATCCTCCTGGGTGCGCGAGGGTTCAAAGGTCGGGTTTGTTTGTTGTCACCACAGTTTTCTCCTGTTGTTTCAGTTGCATGATGAGAAAGCTGCACGCTGCACAGGAATAATGTTGCTTTTTTTTTTCACATTTTAACACAACTTCAATTTTCGCACTTTTTACGATGAGGCGGGGCCCCAAATTTTCCACTGCATCACATTCAACACTGCAGTTTCAGAGGTTCACTCCTTTTTAAAAAATATTGAAGTGTTATATGTCTGAGTGTTGATTCAGACTTTTGAACATATTAGGGCTTCACTTAATATTCAAAAAGTCGTCCAATTGTTCTTATCATCTTTTCATCCGCAGCTCTTTCCATTTTTACCTGATGGGCGGAAGTCACTTTCCGAGGCTTTTCACAACTGTTTTTCGAACAATATATTTTCTCAAAACCTATCACGATAAACAATATTGTTGGGTTTTTTTGTTGTTTTTTTTTTTCACGCTGCTAATAATATGATAGAGCATCTTAAATCGAGTGTATCCTTTCTTCAGGGCAAATAACTTCTAATTCTTGTCAATATCGAACACTGGCATTGAAATGTAGAACAATAAAAATATCTTAGATAAATAAAAAAAATAATAAAGTAGATTAGCTTTAGGATCTGATCACAAGAATTGGACTTAGCATGTATCAAATATTTGGTAAAAATTTATTGAGGGTCACTAATACCTCACTTCCCCACCCCTCAAAATGCTGGTTGCACCAGAGCTACCTCTTATTTTTTATTTTTTTTAAGATACATGGTACAGTTGAAAAGTTTCTGGGGCACCCAAATTGGTGTCATTCTAGAGCCCTGCAAGGAAAAGACCGCATTTATTGTTGCCATAGATGCCTTCATAAGTGTACTGGTGGTCCTTGGTTTATGACGGGGTTCATTTTATAGGGTAGTGACGTAGCCTGCCCGAATAAGTACGGAAGTAAGTTTGTACACTAATTACTGACTGTCATAACTTTCAGTTGCTATTAAAAAAAAAGTTGACGCATAATTGTTCCAATGCTAGGTTTTTGCTATGACAAAAAAATGCAACCAAGATAAATCATTTAAAAACTTTTTCCATCATTGATGTGTAACCTGGGCAACACCATTTAAAAAAAATAATTTCAAGTGGGGAGTTAAGTATGGCAGTCTCAGAGCATTCCCGTGCTCCCTGATGACGTATTTCTATGTTCCTGCGCACATGGCATCAGGTTTTGGCAATGATAAATTCTCATCAATCGCATTGGTGGTAGACTCTTTTCATAACAGGAGTGTCTCCCTTACAGCTCAGCGTTCAGCACATGAACTTCCCATCGTGGAGAAGCAGGACTCGGACAGTTGCTCCGTTCTGGGAGGCCAGCAGATGATCTTGAGCGGGCAGAACTTCAGCTCCGATTCCAAAGTGGTTTTCATGGAGAAAACGCAGGGTGAGTGGCCTGGGTTCGCATTCTCAAGCGATTTCCTGCATTTGCTAGCTCGCTCTGCCGTCACCTTAACAAGGAAGTGAAAGCTCACATTTTCACCGTACGATATACCATATCTGCGTGACACACCTCCCCACACTTCCTCTTGGCCTTTTCTTCCTCACTGGCTTTCCATTTTATCTTCACAACCAGTTGGCTATTTATTGCCACTTTAGGAACCACTTTTTGCTATTTATTGAAATCTCACTGTGAAAGTAGGCATGTTGGCATCATAAACCAGTAAGTAGCATGGCCTTTAGCTGGATTTCCCCCCCGCCGCCCAATGGATTTCCCTGCCGCCGTGTTACGAAATGCGGCAATCACGAACAGTGAGGGAGACATGGAAAAGGAAGTCTTTCGGAAAGGGATTGCCGGCGTTGTGGAGAGTTTTGTGTATGACAAAATTGTGGACGGGTACAACTGCGGAATCCCTCTGAATGAGAGACAGCTGTGTCTGTCTGGAGCTCTGCCGGCTTGCGTGACGCCTGGCCCAACCCCCCCGCTTCTAATTTCCACATCCTCTCATAATCATGTGCAGAAGGGCGAGCAAATGTTGGGGTCTCCCTTAGAGTGGAGTTGCAACACAGTGCAAACAAACGCAAGTGCCAAGAGAACAGTCAGAGAAGGGGAGTGGAGTTGATGGTCGAAAGTTGGCAACACTTGTGGAATCCCCCCCCCTCCCCATCTGACTCATTTAAGCCGTGTGCTTTTAATTAGCATGCTGACAAAAGGGTTTCCCAGCTACAGGAACTTTCTGAATCATTTTAGGAACACCACATGTCAGTTCACGTGCTTCTATGTTTACTTTCTCGTTTTTCATCTGATCACGGTTCTATGGCAGCCGAAATGTGATCTCATATGAAACTTGAAATGGTTGTTGATGTGGAGCCTAATTACCAGTCACAAGCCTGTTGCTGTTCATTGTGGAGGGAAAGGGACCCCCCATGCCCCCCCCAAAAAAAAATAAAAAATCCACTGCACCTATACTTCCCTTTTTTCTATGACATAACGTGGCCATTGCACTTGTTAAGGTCGTGGGCGTTTCTGCAGGACCGTGGCTCAGCATGATAATATTTCAGACGGTGTAGTCCAGCAGCCTAGTGATAGTGTCTGTGGAATTTCGCCCAGCTGAGCTGCTCATGTTATTTGGTAGGTGAAGAAATTCTGTGGAGGGGGGGTGAATTCTTATGTAAATTTGCCCTCACATAGATCCGTGCGGACACATTTTCCGAAACAAAAAAATCTAAAAGCGTGACTTGTTTATGGTAAGTGCATACATGATGGGTCGGCCGACGTAGCAGGGACCTTGTATCTTGTATGTAGAAGTTTGTTGCCGTGAAATTTTGCAGCAGGTTGAATTTTTAAAATTATCTGCACACAGGTAATTATCCGTCCATGAATCAGGAAGTAGCCTTCAAAGTCAAACAAACAAACACGAATGTGACATTCCATTTTTGTTTCCGCTTTTGTTAGCGCTTTGGCCTTAGCAGAGCTCAGCACTCAGTCGAGATTTTCTTGAAGACGTTCTTAGATTTCAGATGGTGCAAAATGTGACTTTTAGCTTGGTTCAACTAAAAGCCAACCGCTGATTTCATCTTTCAGATGGGATGCAAATTTGGGAAATGGAAGCGACGGTGGACAAAGATAAGAGCCAACCGGTAAGTGTGTGACATGGCACTCGTGACGTGGTCTTCCAAGATTCTGCGGATAAAAAGTGGCGTCATTTAATTGTTACCGTTGTCCCGAAGAGCATGCTGTTTGTGGAGGTGCCGTCCTACCGCGACTCGTCTATCTGCCATCCTGTCAAAGTGACCTTCTGTGTAGTCAATGGGAAGAGGAAACGTAGTCAGCCTCAGCACTTCACCTACACACCACTGCCATGTAAGCAAGCTCACGACAAGACAATCAGCAGTTTGACATGCAATGTGTCGTCCGCTCTAAGCCCACTCTGGCTGTGTTCACATTTGGGAGTTTGGGCCCTATAGCGTGAACAAGCCCTAATCCACAGAGGCCTGAAACAGGGCAGCCGTGGCCTCTGAGAACAGAGTGTAAATGTTGCATTTCAGGTAAAAATGGAGAATGTCATGATAAACAATAGATCGGAATTTTATTTTTAGTCTAAAAGTCCAATTTCAATCCAACTAACCCAACAAGTAGATGGTTCTTAACGCAATGGAAACAAAAACACTGGTGACAAGACCGCCTTCATGTCTCTTGTTCAGCTCCATCCATCAAGACCGAGCCTCTAGACGAGTACGACTCGGATCACATGAGCTTCGCCGTCCCCCCCGTCATGGGCATACTCCCTCATTCCTACTACCACACCCCGCACGGCGTCCTCCACCCCGAACATGGCCTCGTTTCCAGCATGGCTCCATGCCAGCGACTTGGCTCCAACCTCCTGGGACAGGAATCCCGCTTCCACAACCAGAGTCCGGCCATTGTCTTCTCTCGTGCAGGGAAAAGCCTGAGCAGCAGCCCGGGCACCTATCAGCAGACTGGTCCCATGATCCCTGACCCCCACCGCTCCGTCCTGGTCCACACGGGCTCTCAGGCACCAACTGCCGCACCAATGGGCGCAGGCCAGCACCCGTCTATCATCCAGTTCTCCCCCACCAACCACCACCTGCTTCGGGCAGGAGACCAAGCACATCCAGAGCAGCCCGTCATTTATTGCGAAGGCTACATCCCGCAGGGGACCCACCCGTCCCCGCCCCCCCAGGTAGACGGGAACCCCCCTCAGCAATACCCAACCGTGATCCAGCAACAGACGTACGCTACCAAAGGGCAGCAGAAAGCCAGAGTATCTCCCGAGGAGACGCCGGCCGACCAAGCGAGGAGGGTGACGGTGAAGGAAGAGAACCTGGACCAGGCCTACCTAGATGACGGTGAGTGTAAGTTCATGTTTTTACTTACTCTGAGTGTGTGCGGTAGCTTTTATCAGCCAAGACACAGATGGCGATCTTAACCCCCTCTCAAACAATTGAAGGATATTTACAATATCGTCGTCGTCGTCTCCTTGTAGAGTCGGTGTGATCAAACGGCTCATTCTTTTCAAACATGAGGTGTAATGACACCGCACTCAGGGTGGAAATAATACGGATTATGACTCATATGTTTGTGCTTCAACCTGTCCAACCCAATACCCCACCGACAGAATTTATGCCGAGCCACATCCAGCAACAGGCGGGATGTGCAACTTCCTTATTTTGGAGCAAAAGGTTCTCCAAACTTTGTCAGAGATTCAACTCTTGTAGATGGGTGAGATGTTCGTGTGTGTTCATCGAGAACACTTTTTTTTTTGTTGTTGTTTTTAAAGAAAGGGGAATAAAAGTGTCGCCCCGGACCACCGACACGTTGATATTGTTATGTTGTGAAAACAACTTCCATGGCAACCATTGTCAAAGCGTGGAACGACCTGCCTGGGAGAGCCGGGGAAAGCCTCTTTGTTTGTTGTAGTTGGCCGGGGCTTCTCTTTGGCCTCATATCCACCCCCCCTTACCCCCCACCTCCAGATCCTGCGGGGTAACCCTCCGGAGGATTAGGGTTTTTTTCCCCCCGACCACAGGATTCTGCCAGTGAGGCTCCAGAAATTCCTTTTTGCAGCTGCTCTGCTCCAGAAATCCAGCACGATGTGTGCGCGATAGAACCCAGGGTGTACGGGTCCTTTTTTTTAGGAAAAAGGAAAGTGTTGTGTGTGTGCTGTGTGGTTCCAATGGAAAAAAATTAAAGCAGCTATGGAATCTTATGTTTTTTGGATGGAGCTCACCAGGTTTCCCTCCACAATAAACAGCAACAGGCTTGTGACTTGTTAAATGAACACTTGGGAGAACAGCGATACTGTTTGACTCCTGTCCTCACGAGTCAGGGACAGCCAAGCATGCCTCCCAATGTTTGTTCAGCTTTGCCTTTTCCATATGTTGTTGAGTTCTGGTGTTATTGTCATGGTGCTACTTTTGTGCTGAAAAGATAGTATTGAGGAACGTTAACATGTAGTAACCTTCAGAGAGGAAGACTCATCCAAATGAGATGTTGTATGCTAATGATTTTTCGAAGGATTGTGAAGTGAGTTGAGTCATCACCATGCAATGCCATTTCCGATCCGCTTTATCCTCACAAGGGTCGCGGGGGTTGCTGGAGCCTATCCCAGCCGTCTTCGGGCAGTAGGCGGGGGACACCCTGAACCGGCTGTCAGCCAATCGCAAGGCACACAGAGACAAACAACCATCCACACTCACAACCACAACTAGGGACAATTAGAGTGTTCAATCAGCCTGCCATGCATGTTTTTGGAATGTAGGAGGAAACCGCAGTACCCAGAGAAAACCCACGCAGGCCCCGGGAGAACATGCAAACTCCACACAGGAAGGTCGCAGCCGGGATCAAACCCACGACCTCTGCACTGTGAGGTCGACGCGCTAACCACTGCCACACTGTGCCGCCCATGCAATGCCATGTAACTTAAAAATGTTGCTCTCAAGCAAGTGCAAAAAAAAAAAAATCATCCAAACCAAGACTCAATTCTGTGCCTTCAGCACAAAAAACACACAAAAAAATTGGACAATGACAAGTGCTATTTAATACTCACTGAAGTTCGTTCTCAAGAGGAGTACAGGTAGTTGTTACTTGTGATATTAGATATTAGACAATCCTGAATATGAGGAAACATAAGGGGGCATTCCCCCGCATTTGCGAGATTGCCGACAACGCCCACGCACGTGCTGTCGATCTTGAAGTCGTAGGAGACCACATCCTGGTATGCTGGAAGTTTACTCCGCGTGGTGTTAGCTGCCTTTTGTTGAGGTATCTTCAACTGTCGGTGTTAAATGAAAGTCAGGTTTTTCCTCTCAGGTTTTTTTTTTTTTCCTCTTTGGTGCCCCACGCCACTCTGGTATGTCTACTCAGCGCTTCTGTTTGCAGCCCACACACGCGTTCCCATGCTGCGCGCTCATGTTCGAACATGCCAAAGCGTCGTCTACCTTCTGCAGCGAGTTATCGCAGAAGAAGCGGGAAAGGCAGCGCGGCCTCGTAGTGAGTGAGTGGGTGTGGAAAAAAATGGTCAGAGGCAGTGGAGCAGGTGAAACGGTTCCATCAGATGAAGATCAGACCTGTCGAGGGAGATAAAGCACATGGTGACAGCTTGGACACACATTAGTCTTATCACACGCAAAAGTGTCGTAAGACCTCATTACACTTTAGTTCCTGTTTTAAAGGATTGGTACCTATGCCGAGCACATAATTTGAAACAAGAGATCATGGTTTGGACTAACTTAAGATGTATACATGCCCAGTATATACTGTGCTTTTTGGTATTGTTTGGTATTTCCTTAGTGTGCTCCTGTCAGCTCTCCCTGTCCTTTCTTTGCATTTGGGCCAGCTGAGCTCTCAGACAAGTTACGAAAGAGACAGATGGCTCTTGAACTATGTATGTGGCTGTGTCAGCAAAGTAGCTAAAATTAGACGTAAGCACATCTCATCGGCTGGATCAGAGTGGTAGATATGTTTGTATTTTATGCAAAATCTTTGATCGGTTGGAATGTCATAATTGGAGCAAAACACAATTTCGTTCACTCCAGGGATGATCTGGGCTGCCATTGTTAATAATATAAGGTTTCTCAGCGTTTTCAGTCAGATTTTTTTTTCCTAATTGTTTCCATTATTTTTACATAATTTTCAGGGTATTGAATGTTTCTCAGCGTTTTTAAGAGAATATTTAGGGATAATTTACCCCCCGGCCCCCAATGCATTTCAGTAGACGTCAGTTATACTGTATGTGAATTTTGTGGGCCGGGCTGTTCCCAATCACCCACGAATCGTTTCGACTATACACTAAATAAACTTGTTTGAATTCATTGTATAGATTATTTCGTCTTCTAATTAGATCAGTGATCAGTTATCTTTTGTTTTGTTTTTTTTAACTTGCTGATCGGTGATTGGCGCCAACATTCTGTTCATATACTGTAAAGCCTAGCTAAAATTATGTTGTGAAATGTAATCAAATTAACACGCATTTTGAGTGCTCTAAATGAATCGCTGCTTATTCTAATTAAACGGGATTAAAAACATCAAATGGCAGTAAGAAAAAGTTCAAATCTAAAAATGGAACAAAAGATGTTTATAAGCGGACATCACACTTTTTATTAAAACGTTTTAACCGTTAAAAAAAAACACAAAAATTTCAAGGAAAATTCTCACACTATGATTCCGTTCCAAATTTTACAGACAGCATGCAAAGTTTTAAGGATAATTTTTTTTTTTTTTAGATATCACACTCATACGAATAACGACATTTGTGGACACAGATCCAGTTAGCTGTCATTCAACCTCTTCTAAGGTGCTTCACAAGACCGCCGTGCACGCATGAGGATTCACAAATCCAGCTCTCAGCAGGCGTGCGCTGCGGCCTGACTCGGCTACTGTGCGGGTTGCCCGCGTCTCCGCCCACTGGCGCCGGTGTCGGGAGCCAGACACTCTCCTATTGAAGAGAGCGTCTGGAGTGCCAAGCCTTCATTCGCTCGAGTTAAAGCGCTACTCTGTGTTGCCGCGTCTTTAAACGTGTTTCATATTCCGGAGGAGGGGTGGGGGGGGGGGGCAGTAATGTGACTACGACGGGGAGATGAAAGTGCCCTGAAGGTGTCCAAGCAAATTCCACCTCAGCTTTAAAATAAACATGGCGGCTGATGTGGTGACGACAGCAGAGAATCCAGTTTGGCAACTTATAATGCCACCCCCCAAAAATGCTTCGATTTTGCTCAGTTGGCCAACTAAGGCAAGGAACCAACTTTTGATAACTCTACACAGCTTTGACTTTTTTTCTATTTATTCACTTGAAATTATTACACAATATACTTATGCTCACTGTCCATGAAGGTAGATATTATGCTCGTTTTTTTCTTCTTTGTTTGTTTCGCGCAATTTATGAGTGTTTTAATAACATGTCTGCACAACGCTTTGTCAAAATGTGCCAAGAATAATAATTCCAAAGTAGGAGTCGAGTGTACGCGTAACAGTGCGCATGATCTCACCAGATGCTTGCTTCTACTTGTGTATGCAACAGTTTACTGTGTGTATGTTGCGCATGGCGCATTATCAAACATACGTTACTCCCCACCAACAACAACAACAACAACTAACAACAACCATACGACAACTGGGTCACCAACTACAAAAGCGTTCAAATAGGCGCCGCTTATCAGACGCTAACACTGTTCTGTCTCAGACTGTTGCTTGAAGGTGGCACCGGATCTTCAGGATTTGGGGAGAAATAGACATCGGACAAAAGATTGACTTGTGTGTTGAATGTCACATTTGACTGGGTGGGCAAGCGCTACAGAGACGCTGCTATTTGTATACAAGCCCTGAAAAAGTCACTTTTCCGTATGTCCTCTTGAGGTCTCGCTCATTTGCTTCATGAAACAATTGCTATTTATATAGTGAGCTGTTCTGGAGGTGTTTGTTTGTAGTTTTAGTTACACCCGTTGACTCACCCCTATGTTGCTGAAGGCTTTAAATGGAGCTCAACAGTGAATGAAGTGTCTTTGTTGAAAAAGGCACTTAGGTTGCAGTGTCTCAATAAGACCTCTCCACTACCTTTCAAAATAGCAAACGGGAACTTGGCATGTTTGTAATCTGCTCCTTCTTCATCTAACACTTATTTGTTATTTAGCCATTATTAATATTGAAGTATAAATGAAAGTCGATGCCAGAGTGAAGTTGCACCCCATTTGCATTGATGGCTTAGTGAAGCGAGCTCATTAGATTCGGGTGGCCATAGATCCTCTTTTACTTAAACGTACTGTATGCTTTTTTTTTTTTTTTTTTTTTTTTTACACGTTGCTGTCAACAATGACACTATTTTATTGCATCATTTCATTCATTTGGCTGGTATTCTTCCGCTTTCCTGGGACTCATCTTTCTATTGAGGTTCTTCCTTGTATACACAGAAAGATTGAGTGACTGATTCATGACACAGCTAAATTTGTTGAATGATGAAAGGCAGGGGATATGGATGAAACACACACAAAAAAAATTCACCAACTTGGTTTTCATGGAAGCTCGTCAAGTGTACCTGAGTGTGTCTAATTTCTCTTTCTTTTTCTGAAAGTCATTATTTATTGATTACAAACATATCTTAGTTCATCGCAGAAGGTACAGTCAACCTTTGTGTACATCTGTGGCAATTCATACAACAGAGTAATTCCTGTCTTGTGCGAGTATCAGCTTCGTGTTTGATTAAAGAGTAAATTTGTGAGACAAGATCGGCGTTATTTCAATATTCAACGTATTTTTTGTGACATACTTTGTTTGGTGTTGTGCTGTAAAATGTTTCCAATGTAAATTAGTTTGCATCGGCTCAATGAAGGTTGGGAAACCACTGCTCTGGAGGACCAGAGGAATGCTTACTGTATTTGAGCGATTTCAGATAACATTAGTGGGGCTGTGCGTCACCATGGTTACTAAAGGCACAGACACAACATGTCACGTAATGGCCTGAATTGTAAGCCAAGAGCTTTTTTGGCCCACTTCGAAATGCTCACATTAGTCATCGGACCTAATGAGTCGCTAGTGACACAGTGGAAGCAGTGGCGGCCCGGAACGTCGCTTAGCGCCAATGTACACACGCACGCACACACGCACGCTTGACCGCCGATTACGTTGGCTGTTTATTTTGACAGCCACTTTGGCTGGTGGGTCTCCCATACTTCCGACCCAACGTAACAACTGCATGCTTGTACTGTACTTTGTTGTGTAGCATTAAGCTAACAACGAGCCAAATGCAGTTTTGTTTGACTTTTGAAACCGTTTTTTCCTCCACAAATTCTAAGCAATGTAACAGTTTTGAGTTGCCACTATGACTGTCGTTCCACACACAGCATAATTTGTGCTAAAATTGTTGAGAGCAAAGAAAAAAAAGGGAGGCGGGGGGGGGGGGTCGTCAATTCTAAGTGGTGTAACGTGAACCACACGGGCTAACTCCAAACTTTTTAACCACACATTTTTTTTCCATGCTGCTATATTTGAAGTTGAGATGTTTCAGTAACCGTCTTATGCAAACTCTTCACCTCTGAGTGCCCTGCCATGTCGTGACGATCTCGATTATCTGCTCATCGTTGTTCAGGCCAGATGACAGCTGGTTGAACTTCCTCATTGCTTCAGGCCTGCAGACAAGTACACAAACACTCTGCGTGGACCGAACAAGCGTGTACTTCTTTTTAGTGCTGATTTGAACCCGTTTTATTTAATAAGCACCGTGTCAAAAGAACCTCCGCGTGCTTCTGCCACGCATCTGTTCTATTTTTAGAATTTTGATGCGAACGGTTTCCATTTCAACGTCCCTTGGCTGTGGGTTTATGTCATCAGCAGGAAGCGAATGTACAGTATAGCGCAACTCAATAGGAACACACCTTCTGACTTTGAATCCACTTTGCCAAATCTGCAGGTATTTGATTTATAGGGGATATATACATAATCATGTTTTCATCTTTCTATTGGAATTTTCATCCATTTACTTAGAGCATTTGACACTTACGAAGTGTTCAACGCGTTTTATCACAAAGGATGTTGGATATTTTATGTAATACCGTGCAGCTTTTTCAAGGAAATCATTTTCTCTTAGCACTCATTACGAAAAAAAATCATAAATATGTAATAAAAATATTTTGATTGAAAGAAAAAAATAGGCGAACCAGAGAGGGAGAATCTAATTATTTCCAGTATGTTATGAGTTAATGATATTTCGAACAAGGAATTTTCTGCACCCCCCCCCACCACAATAATTAACTTAACACCTATAGAAAAAGATCAAAGGTGAAGTTTGAACTGGTTGTTGTGTTGCATATTTTATATATCTACCACTGAACTGAAATATGATTTTTTTTTTTAAAGTGTACACAACTAACTTTGCTGGTCCACTGGTTACCGTGTCGACCTCACAGTGCAGAAGTACCGGGTTCAATTCCAACTCCGGCCTCCCTGTGTAGAGTTTGCATGTTCTCACCAGACCTGCGTGGGTTTTCTCCGGGTACTCCGGTTTCCTCCCACATTACAAAAACATGCATGGCAGGCTGATTGAACACTCTAAATTGTCCCAAGGTGGATGGTTGTTTGTCTGTGTGGTTCAGGGTGTCCCCCGCCTACTGCCAGAAGACGGCTGGGATAGGCTCCAGCTCTAGCACCCTACGCGACCCGTGTGGGGATAAGCGGATCGGAAAATGGATGGAACTAACTTGGCCTTGTTTGACTCAATTTCATTTGCCCCTGATGACTGTGACCTACTTCAGACTGACTCGACAGCACCATCTTCTGTTTGTTACTGAGTAGTGCACTCCAACGTCAAAGCTCGTTTATTCGAAGCTAGATGAAATTCAACATTACTGACTTAATTTATGAAAAAAATTTTTATGGCGCTTGTCCTCATTTGGGTCAAGGGTGAGCTGAAGCCTATGCCAGCTAACTTTGTGTGAGAGGCGGAGTACACCCTGGCCTGGTCACCAGCCAATCACGTTTGCTAACCGCTTATCCCACCATGCACCCTTAACAATCAACAATGATTGTTGCTCATCCTGAGAGCTTGAAGGTTAATACATCACGGCCGGTCTTAGCCATACACAGATAAGATAAATTTCTTTTGAATGCAGACATTTCTTTTCGCAATCAACTTATTCAGTGGAGTAAATAATGATGAAATTATAGCAAATCAGAATTTTGGATTCAAGAATTCACAAGCATTCCACCACAGGAGAGTATAAGCATCATTAAAATTCAGAAAATGTATCTGATTCATTTGCTGCTGTTTTTTTCAATTTTTTATTTTATTTTTTTTTTAATGTAATGTCTTTCTTTACTTTGCAGTGAATGAGATCATCTGCAAGGACTTGACTGGTGTTCAAACTCGAGGGCAATCCTAGAGGAGCAGAAAATGACATCACATGCTGCCCCAAGCCCTCTGTTGTCAACATCGGACATTTTGGGTTTTGTGCTCTCCACGCCGCTGTACAGAGATGCACCTATGCAGGTAGCACCAAAAAAAAAACAAAAAAAAAAAACAGATAACTGTGCCTTATTTTGGTAATAGAGGTAGTTAAAACCTATGCTTGTTTACTAGTGAGTGAATACATGAAGAAAATCCAAAACTTAACCGGTCGATCATCTCAAAAAGTGCAGTTTGTAATTAAGAATAAAATGATGCCTTCACCAAATGAGCTATCAGCTCCACGTGCACTGTTTTGTTTTTTTGAAAACCGGATGTTTACGTGCGTGTAAATAAATGTATTCCATTTTATACGGCATGTGTATGTTGCATAATATTCACGTGAAGTGTCTTCACAGGGCCTGTGATGCTGCAGTCATGATTGTAGTTTGTGTTCGAATTCTAAATTCTAAGTCCAGTGACAATCTGCACTTTGATACATTATAAGTGGCCTTTTGGAATTACAAATGCGTTTATTTTATTTGTTTTTCTCTGAACCTTTTCCTGTATGTATATAGCAGATTTTTTTTTTTTTTTTTACATATAGTGAAAAAAAGTATATTCAATGCCAAAGTCTTGCCTATGCACAAGATTATTGCAGCCCATTGTAAACAGTTTTCTACCTGTACACACTCGTGAGAATATACAGCTATCCTAAAATAGTTGGCTGTGATTGAAAAGGAATTTTTCATTTTTTCCAGAAGTCTTTTGACCTAATCAGAAATTATTTGCCTTACGTGTTAATCAACGTATCACTTTTTATATGAAAAGCTGCAAATGGGGGTGAAAAGTAAAAATATAAAGAAAGATAGAATCGGACGCAGACCTTTTTTTTTTTTAATATGAAAAAAAAGAATATTCTATTTTGTAATATTGCATTGATATGAATGATGTTTGCCATTGAGCCAGTACAGCACAATTACAGTTGCCTTATCTTGAATGTAATCTCCCCACCCCATTTTTTTTGTGTGTCTTGTAAATATAGACCTCAAAGTGTGATGTCATGCTGAAATATGTGTAGCTTGTCATATTGTTATGCGTTTATATCATGCTCCATATCATTCAGTTTGTTTGTTTGGTTTTTGTACAAGGAAAAACTGAAGGGAATGAGGCCTCATTGATATCTTCAATCGAGGCCTTTTTGTTCACTTGTTTAATTTCAGCGAGATTTTAATTAATGTCTTATTTACTGTTGGTCTTTAAGCCGTGATATTTTTGCATTCTTAAAAGTAGCAATAAACTATATCCTTACACAATCGCCAACGTTTCATCTCTTGACCTTCTGCAACAACGACGATGAAATGAAGAAAAAGTTGGAAAATGACGCATTGAATTATTGTGTACAAGCCATACAGTGTGGGACATAAGGAACTTGAATTAATCGAATGGGACACCAGGAGACAGACTGCTACAGGTGATCGTATAAATACATATATGTCACTAAAATTTGTTTGTAAATTTTCCTGAATAATTAATCATTTGTGGATTACACAGACTAGGTGTCATGAAACATCCATCCGTCGATCCATTTTCAACACCACTTATCCTGAAGACGGTCGCGGGAATTGCTGCAGCCTATCTCAGCTGGCTTCGTCGGAACAACCCCTGAACTGGTCGCCGGTCAGTCACAGGCTGACAGCCGAGTGCGGGCGTGGGTTTTCTCCGGGTACTCGGGTTTCCTCCCGCATTCCCAAAACATGCCTGGTAGGTTGACACTCGAAATTGTCCCGAGGTGTGAGTGCAAGCGTGAATGGTTGTTCGTCTATGTGTGCCCTACGATTGGCTGGCCACCAGTTCAGGGTGTACCTCGCCTACTGCCCGAAGACAGCTAGTATAGACTCCAGCACACCCGACACCTTGATGAGCGTTCATGAAAAGGGATGTATGGACATCACTCCTTAAATTGAATGCTCGTTATCACTCAGGCACACATTTCATCCCTGCCTCAAATGACAGCGAGGGTGGGAAGTTTCGGGTCGGCTTGGGACAACGGTTGCCATGGAGACAGCCTGTTTGGTGCGTTCTTTGTGAATGAACCTTGTGTTCAAAAACTCTTTGGTCTATGATGTCAGCGCCAGTGAAAAGATGGCACGTGGGTCTCGGCGCATACATGAGCTGTCTCCAGCCTACTTGCACACACACACACACACACACACACACACACACACACACACACACACACACACACACACACACACACACACACGTACCACCGTGACTCATGTGCCCTTTCAAGGCTCAATGCCTCACTGGCTGCGGGGTCCATGCAGAAAACACACTTGAATGAAATACATAATGTGCTTGGCATTTCATTCGTCCGACTTTTGATAGTTGTCAAAGACAGAATTCCAAAACAAGCGTCAGTATGCACAGTGGTTCGCTTAATTTTGCATTTACCGTAATATTAGCCATGAACTTAAATTCAGTTAGAACCACTGGCCATGTGTGCTATTGAACAAGTGCTGCTTCATGAAATGAATAATAACAGTGTATGTATGCTGCTACCTGCAATGCAAGCACATTCTCAGCTCGAGCACTAGTTGCGTTGTTTTTACTTTTGTCACTCGTGTCCATTATAAGGACAAAAAAATCTTCACAATAATATGTTTGATGCGCCCCCGCTAGTTTAAACATGGCATTCTGATTCATATTGCAGATGTGGAATATGAATTAGGCTGATAAATACTCCTGTTTTGCCACTTCCTGTCCACCCAAAAATGACATCACAGTGCCTAAGGCCCAGGTAACAACCAATCATGGCTCACCTTTTTCTGGGTTTGGTCATGTGACATTTGCGGTTGCCGACCTGTGTCACTACAAGGCGAAATATACCTGGGATGGATAAAAAGCTGTGAATTTTTCTGCTAAATTCATTTTTCACAAACACAAAATGACTATTTACACTGGTGGTGTTGCATAGACCACATTATTCTTTAGAATATTTTTAACTTGACTTCCCGTTTAAAGAAGACATTTTACGGAAAATGTACTTTTTAATATCGGTATACAAATAGTGTCTGTGGAGTGCCTGCCCGTGCCTGTCTTGAGTGTGAAAATTAAGCCATTAAGTCAATGGTGCTGTTTGAAAAAGTGTCAGTGAATCTATTTGACCATTATTTTTCGAAGGATGTCCACTTATGTGCCTTTCTGTGACTCTTCCAGTCTCTTTGTACCTGTTGGACCCCACTGATGACCCTGTGACACTCTATGCTCAGTGGCCCTCTGGGAACATCCTGCTTGAAGCCCATGTAAGGTTAATCGAAGACTCAAAACGGCTCATTGGCGAGAATATGTGTGTGACTGACATGATCAAGGCAACCTGGTGCAAAAAATCAGGATCAAGTTACGGGTATTGAAAATGGATGCATCGCTATTAAAGAGCAGTACGGCTTGTCTGACTGCAGGGGGAGACAATGGACCTTGGGAAGAATCACCGGACGCCTTAATTGAGCAGAAAGAATCAGGGTTGGTAAAACGTTTCATCATCGCCAAGCAAATTCGGTTGGTGCACAGATGAAAAAGAAAACAATTTGACACAGCTCTTAGCTAAATAATACCTAAAGCATCTATCGCATCTTGTGTGGTATTTGCAAAATGTATGACTTGCAATTTCCAACATTGCTTGTTGCTTAAGAAATAAAATTAAGCTAATGGTTTGGTTTCATCAGGTTCTGATAGAAAACAGGATTTTGACTGGAGTATTCGTTCCTGCAGCTGGGAGTTTATTTTGCAAACTGCTGATCCTTGCTGTAAGCATACAAACAAAGCCTACGTTGCAGTTTACGGTACAGCGGCAGATTAACTATTACACGGATTCTAATTAAAAACAGCAACTTTGTTAAATTAAAAAAAGAAAAAGGTGCTTGGAACCCATGTTAATGCTTCACTGCCTTTGCAATTGACTATATTGAGAATAGCATCTTCCCTGTTGCCATAGTGACCATACTGGTGGACCAACTGGGGTTTATCACTTTTGGATTGCTATCCCAATGTTATATTTCTGACTCGCCGCTCCATTCATTTTGTTTTACTGAAGAATGGAATCGAGAGTCATGACATCGTCTAGTGTGGAGCTAATCATCTTTCATTTAATAAGCAGTACACTCAATGATCACAGAATCACGAATTAAGATAAAACCGGATACTGCAGCTTATGCTATGATTCCCACCTTGCTATTTACCACACTGCTTTATAGACAATTACAAGTCACAGATAGCTGCAGGCGTCAAACTCCGGTATTCGAGGGCTGCTATCCTGTATGTGTCAGATGTTTCCCTCTTCCAACACACCTGAATCAAACAATCAGTTTATCAGGAAGTTCTGCAGGAGCCTGATAAGTTCCTGACTATTTGAATCAGGTGTGCTGGTGGAGAGAAACGTCAAAGCTAAAGTGATTTTTTTTTTTTTTTTGTTAGTAAACTGGTGAAAATTTACAGAGCCCTTAAGGAGACATGGAAAAAAAATGCGTTCTCTCACAGTTTTGTTTTTTTTTTTTTGCAACGTAAAGCTTTTATAAAATGCGCTTTTATGTACTTCCGGGTCAAGTTGGCTACTGGCGCCTCCAACGCGCGGCTGTTTGAAAGACGACACTATGCTTCAGATGCCTTTCGCTTATTTATATTTGAAATCGAGAACAGATTTTATGTCTTCGTATTTCAAGCCGATCTCAAAGTAAAATGCAGTTAAACTTGCCCACAAGTGAAAACACTTCATCTTTGTTGATTTCATTTACCGAAAAAATGACGCGGAAGAATATAAAAACGCATTTTATAAATGCATTACCTTGCAAAAAAAATAATTGCATTACTCACAATCTTTGAGAGGGAACACAGTTTTTTTTTTGTTTTTCTTTCATGTCACCTTAAGTGCTCCGTAAAGATTGCATTAAATGAAATAAAGTGAATAACTCATGGACTAAATTACCGATAAATGTACCAAACTATGATTAACATTTATGAAAAAATATGTGACAAATTATGGGTGAAAGCCGACTCTTGCGTTGGGGTGACCGGTAATGGCAGCTCATCAGCTCCTCAGCTGGTGATGGCAGCTCATAAACAGAAGAAAGCTGAATATTTAACAGTAACAACAACTGCCGCCCACCACAAGTAACACTTCTCTGGTCCCCACCAACGCTGGTGTCAAAGTTCTCGAGTTTACATAATTGCTCCTGCTCACATAGGTTTACTACTGACTGGAGAGTGAATGCACAGATTTATTTAGAGGCACTTTTGTTTGTTTGTTTGTTCAATGTGGAGCTGCTGAATGAGCATTCGCCGCGATTCAAACTAAGGCTGGGTGATATTGCCATCTAATATAAATCACGATATATATATATATATAATTATGTTCAAGGGAGTAGGATGAAGTAAGAAACTTATCTAGTCCTACCCCGTGTTATGTGTTTATATTAGAGCTGTCAAACGATTAAAATATTTCATCAAATTAAAAACGTAACTGTCAGAATTAACTCAAATTAACTCATAATTAATCGTGATTACTCACACATTTTTTATCATTTCTGAATTTCCTTTGATATTGTTTTGTCCTATTTTTCCCGTTTTAATGCTGTCATCAACATGGAATCATGGCTCAGTTTTCTATGTGCAAAATGCAAATATTTACTGAAACTATTTCGATTTTCAATTTTACATGAACATTTTTTACTTGGAGCAGTTATTCATACATAATCTCTCACACAATATTACTGTCTATCAACAACAGTGAAAAAAATATTTTGCCACACAGTGCACATCTAAGGTAAACTAGTACTCAGCCTATAGTGGATTTAAGCCATGGTTGCATACTTGGTTTTTTCTCAAGTTTGCTTTGAACACAGCAGTCAGGCTATGTTGATTCTGTTGGTCCTTCTTGCGCGGAAGTCTCTCTATGGTTTTGTGTCGACATCATTTCGGATGACTACACTTGGTTCGAGGCACAACACCGGAGACGTTTTCTTATTTTCGGCGTGGTCGTTACCACTGCACAGCTGAACTCTCGACGTGCCTCAGCGCACCGTCACTGTCAGACAAACACAGAAAAGCTCCACCCCCTTTATTTATATGGACACTGTACACGGTAACCTTTCACACAAAATAGTTCCAAACAAGTAACAATTGTGTCAGTGGCATACATCGTACTCAACAGGCTACCTGCTCTTTATTCACCAGAGGCTCATCAATCTAGTCTCTTATTTCTCTCCCGAAACAGTGTCTTCTCCTGCTTGGTGTACCTTAGCCTTCTCCGCTACATACAAT